AACGAAAAGTCAATTTCACAAAATAACAGATTTTGAGTTAAGTTGTGATGTCGTGGGAAGTAATTGTTGTTGACTGTGTAATTTCTGTAACAGCCGGCAAATGCATGCCGAGATAAAACCCCATATGACACGAACCACAGTCAGTGGAAGGGAGAGATTCACTCTAAAAGCATCTCCCCCAATTCTCCCTACGTGACGGCTGTCCAATGAGTCGCAAGCCGACAGCGGTAATAGGACAGTCAGAGGGTTATCGTCCGCGTGCTCTGATTGGCAGAACGACACCGAATCAGGATTAATTTTGAACTATGACACTTATTTAACAGTAATTTAAATTGTTTAACAAAGAGAGGCAATTTGATTATGTGAACTTATTGAAATATGAATTCTACAGGATCGAAAAACGGGTCGGTAGAAAACCCTTATGGCTTAAAAGTTGGATGAAGTCAAAGTCATATAGGGGGTCAGGGGATCGTTATAAGTGCCTACTTTCAAGGTCAACTGCCCCGCCTTCGCGGGCTTAACGACTAATCAATGGCTCCTGCGCGCGACTTCTGAGGAGAGCCTACTTTTCAGTCTGATTGTGATCAAAGCGACAAATATATTGTGCGCGCAGGAGAGAGACAAACGCAGTAGATAGTTTTCTAAGCACTTTGGAGACGGAATGGGATCACCTGAAATCCTAACAACACAGGGGAGGGTTACACGCCTACTTTCGATGTTTTGATATTTCACTTCATAAGTCCCATGACGTACGGATGATAGGAAGCTGCCGTGAACCCGCTGTCTGCGCCTGGCCCTCTGCACTCATTTTGAACTTTACAGACAGTCTGCATTGCATTATGACGGGAGGTGTCTCTACAGGCTGTTTCACTAAGCGCGTTTCTAGTCATCAAGCGTCAAACCACCCAGGGAATACGGCAGTTCCAGCAGAACCTGTTGACGAACGAAAACCCGAGACACACACACGTATCTACGACACACAAAGAAAGCCTACTATAGTCGTTTAAGTAGGTCGTCTACATTGCGAAAACTACATCCGGAATAAATACTAGCAAACAAGCACCTTTCACTCGCACAACCGGCAGTTACTGCCCTGTGCCCCCCAGAAAGCCAAGCACCCGAGACCAAGTTAGAGTTCGAGGATCAAGATCTGCCCCACGGCGTATGAGTCCTGCTCAGGAGGGGGTTTCCAATTCCACATTAGGCAACAGTAAGGTGTACGACCCCAACTAACTTGAGGTAGCCTGTGAACCGTGTTTTACGTTGAATGATGGTAGAGAGGGTTTTACTGGTGGGGCAACATGCAGGGCGGAATGCAAGAAGACACAGAAAGTAAATATTCCCATGTTACACTTGCAAAGTTAAGTTGTCAAACACGTGTTTTCGGTAATTCTTCGTCAGTCCAATACAATTACATGGAGGAATGAATACGTTCAAAATCAACAGCGTTTATAGATGGCTCAAGGGCTATTAAGTCACTAACACTCATCATCCCACGCCGCCCGCATGAGAAGGTCGGCGGGTGTTAGTCGTCAGAGCTAGGGGAGGGAAGTAAGAGAGTCTTTGAGTAATGTTCTAGGTTGAGCACACGTATTACGCATCACTGTAATTAGGGATTTGAGGCGGCATGGCGTCATCACTTGGGGTTGGCGTTGGCCATGGTAGAGAGAGCGCTTGTGTCAACGTTTTCTGACAGCATAACACCGGATTCGCTGGCCGTATAGCCACTGCCTCGGTTTTCCAAGCATTCATTGGCGTAGGCCTTTAGAGAAGCATGTTGGTGTCCGGTAGACAACCTGAAATGCTTTCTTGGTTCGTATCGATTAAATGCGCGAGAACAGAACTCGAAACCGACCGGGTCTCACCTCTGTCTAGCCAGGCGGGCATATGTTCACGCATCCTCTTTACCAGGCGTCTCGTTGTGCGGCCGATGTATCCTGCTCCATAGGAGCAAGTGAATGAGTAGATGCACATTGACGTGGCCTCCAACGATAGTCTATCTTTACCTCCCAAACGTAGGAGGGGAGAGTTTGTGAAGCATACGCGTAAATTCGCCGCGGGAATGCCCTCGTGATAGCTGTAGATAAGCACAGTCTGACTAGTTCGCTCTCTGCGTCTTCTCTAAAAGGCAATCTTATAAATACATCTTTCTTTTCCGCAGTCGCAAATAAATTGCCGAAGGTCTTATTGCGAGCTGTCATACGACAAATAAAGTGAGCGCGATAATTTAAAAA